AGGCATATACATTTTCTATGTATGGTATGTTAAGAAAGTATTTTAAATTAAAATATTTGTTTATTTTCTGCATTTATTGAGATCCACTTTTTCTTTTCTATCTATTAATGTTGTGACTTTCTTGGATATTAAATATTGAACCAACTTTGCATTCTTGGAATAAACTAAACTTGAGCATGATATAGTATCTTTTTTTTTAATGCATTGCCTTTGTAATTATTCCAGTGTTTTTGAACTTGTGTTCATATGTTACACTGGCCTGTTGTTTTCCTTTCTGACAGTACTCTTGTGTGGGTTGGTATCAAAATATCACTAGGCTCACGAGATAGGGGTGTTTCTTTTTCTCTCTTTCTGCAAGAATTTATGTAAGATCAGAACTACTCAGACAGTTATTACACAAGTGTGTAATTATATTCTTCCTTTAGGATAGTTATTGTACTTCTAAAGTAGTGCTTTTTTAAAGACAGTATTTGGACCCTTGCAAGTCACGCTCTAACAAATTTTGTAAGTTGAATCTGATCTTCTAAAACTATCAAAAACCACCCTATCTAAATTATTGAGGAAAACACACAACACATTCTTTTGTCATTGAAATGGGGCTAATTCAACAAATAGACATAAGTGAATGGTGTTGAAGAAATAAGGAAAGTTCTTTGGGCATGTAAAAATAGCATTTCCTGCCTTACTTTTTTCTCATATACTGAGTAGAGATTTTCTCAGTTTTGCTAATATGGGCACTTAGATAGAGATGGCATCAGCTGACTTACCAAATTACAGTCCTGAATGCATGATAACTTGTGCTCAGAGTTTCCAAAATTGATTATTCTAACAAACTGTTTCTACAAATTATTAATAAAATAAGTATAACTAGATATTGTCTGTTAAGATTATGACATAGAGTGTAGTATCCCTGAGACAAGTGCAAAAGAAAACTTTTTAAGAGAAGCAAACAGAAAATAGCAGAAATTTGGCATTGCCACTAAAAAAACACATCTTATTCTGGGAATGTTTCCTTATCATATGGGGAGCAGATAGAAAGATGAAAACAAATAACTAAGTTGTTTTTGTGTAAAGTGAATTCTCATATCAATATAAAAATGTTTTAATTATGAAAAATTACCTTAATGTTCTGCTCATGACACTCCTCAGTAATGCAAGTTTACAGTTAAGTTGTTATTTTTTTTAAAAAAAGTCAGTAAATAATCCCTCCCCAAATAATAACAAAAAACACATCAAACTTATTTAATATAATTCCTTCTATTTCACAAAGTGAAAAGTGGCCAATGGAGGTCTTCTTGGAGTCTGAACATCATTTGACTAATGTTGTGATGGCAGAAATATCAAGCATTTGCTTCAAAAAAGTCCCATCTTTTTTAACTTCAACTAAAATTGATAACACATGTTAGTGCCAAGCTCTGAACAGAGACTATGCCCCCCACTTTCTGCTACTTTGAGATCAGAGACTCTCTCACCTTCTCTTGTTTAAGATCATCAGGCTCAAAATGTACCATTAAAATTGTTTATGGCTCAAATTAAATAAATGAAAATATAATGATTGAATAAAGGGCTTTCTCCAAATGAGTTGAAAATCATACATTATAATAGACTTAGTGCTTCAAAGCACATAATTAATAGCAATAATTTAAAAAAAAAACCACACACACACACACCACACTATTTTTAAGCCAAAAAAAGGGAAATGTTTTCAAATATTTACTCCTGTATTCCCAAGATGAACTGGTAAAATCTCAAACTCACCAGAAGTGGTAATTTAGATTTTTATAGCTCTATTCCTCTTAACAATGTATTTCTCTGTAATCTCATTTGATCTTTAAAGGATCTGGAAATAGTAAACCAGAACTGCTAATTCCATGTTACAGCTGAAGAAAGTGAGTCTCTGTGAGTGGCCTGAGATATGCCAGAGGTCTCACAACCAGTAGGGCTGAATAAGAACTTGAACTTCGACCCTCTAATTTTTAATCCAGCTACTAATTGCATTTCTTCTTTAAATGCAAATTTGTCTATTAAATTATAAACTCTGCATCACTCTAGTTGTGTGTGTGTGTGTGTGTGTGTGTGTGTGTGTGTGTGTGTGTGGACTTTGAAGGTAGATTGTTTTAGCCGATACATAGTCTCAAGAAACAAAGAAAATAACAGAAGTGGATTGAATAACTTCTGGTGACAAAATTGTCTTATTTATATGTTAAATGCAACGTATTAACTTTTTCTAAAGCATTTCTATTTTCTCTCAGTTCAGGTGCCAGACTTAGAGCTTTTATATATGCCAGTAAAGGAGCTCAGAATCTAATTCTGGGTCTGCCAGTCTGTTATGCCTGCACTATCTGAGATGACTGGGACTTATACACTCAGATTCGGCAGCCGCTTACATACTTATTTGACCAGGGAGATATATCAGATTTAGAACTTTCATCCTAAGAATAAGGCAATTTTAATCCATATTAGACTGTTACAGAATCAGGCTTGAATAAGACATTAAATGCATAGTAACAATAATATTTAAAGGTCATTTTTTTTTCTTAACGTGTTTTTCCCCTGCATTTTGCTCTTAGGGATGTTTTATGGATTTCTTTTCCAGGTGACCATAATTCACATTTGATTATTTCATTTTTATATCTAAAGGAAATCTGCCATAATTATTATGGTTTAATGCTGCTTATCATTCAGTAAACAAATTTATAGAAAACGGCTAGCAAAATATAACAACTTGTTTTCAAGAATTCTTAACACTGGGAGAAAAAAATCATACCTGGTAATATATGAGAGCTTATCAATAAGCTTAAATTTAAACCTATTTTTACTTTGATAATTACTTGCGTATTATGTTTCTTAGTTGTAGGTACTGGAGAAATTAGGTGATAATTCTGCCCATGTTAAAATGTAATCACTATCTCCATTGCTTGGAGTGCTTCAAGCAGTCACACAATTCTACTTTGAAACATGCATTCAATTAAATGAACCAATGCTGAAGAAAGACCTCTGATATAAGGCAATGTTCTTCTATTTATTCTTTCTTTCATTTATTCAGTCAATCAATCAACCTTTTGTACCTTAACATTGATAAATTCAGTACCTATTATGATACAGGCTCTGTTTTAGTCACTGATTATCAAATAACATGGATCTTGCCTCCTATGAGAGTTTACATTTGTTTTAGGTGTTAAGGTTATTAATTACCCACAGAAAGGTCTTGAAGCTTGAGGAATGCCCTGCTATCACCAATTTCTAGGGAAGATAAAAAATTCAAGATATAAAAAAATAAGTTAAATGCAATGATAAAAAGTAGAAACCCATTTTCATCTAGAATTGGCGATAGAGGTGAAAACAACAGACCAAGTCCCCAAGGCCACGCCTACATTTGGCACTTTCTAATTAGACAAGCTACTTGTTTCTTTAGTTATCATGTGTTCAAATGTAAAATGGTATTATACCTAATTCTCAGGGCAGTAGTGTAAATAAAATAACCCCCATAATACAATGCTGGACATATAATAGTCAGCTCATAAAGAAAAACTTGTGAAACTTGAGAGCTAAAAGAAGAATGGTTACATAAGTTTAAATGTCTTCCCTCTAGCAGTGGGGTTCAAGATACGAAGGACAATCACTTGGTAAGGAAGCTTGGAAGAGAATAGAAGGCTAATTGATTATTAAACACCACTGAGACACCCTCCTATTCCATGGATATTAAGTAGTTTGGTCTTACCCTGAAAGAACAAAGGATTCATACATTTTCCAATCACTACTACTAACATTTTGATTATTAATTAGAAAATCTTTTTTAATTTTTTTTGTCAGAAAATATTTCAGTGTTAGTAGTAGTATGGCCTAGTTTTTAGTAGTACAGAGAGAAAAAAATGATTCTTATATGGTTTAATATGGGCTTACACTTTATGATTAGGTTCTTACATTGCTAAATTCTTAATCCCATTTATTATATAAGAAAACTCTAAAGATATCAAAGATTATTTCGATTATACCATGCTTTTCTGAGGAAGGAATTGCCTTTTTAGTCACACTAAAATGAGAATAGGTATTAGTGTCATTAGGAAAATGCTCTGTGCAATGTTAAAGAAACATATCATTGTGAAAAAATATAACGTGTAATGTCTATTGGTAACCACAGAATGTGTAAATGTGGTGCCAGCGAATTATCTCCTAATGGATGCCAAAGTCCTTGCCATGTTGTCTTTCATTCTAAAGAGTTTGGTGCCAATTTCACTTATTCTTTATTTTGTGCTCTAAAATATTAAGGGGGGGGCGGGAAATCCCAGAGCATTCTCAAGAGCTTTTCATTGGGATCAGAGCCAAAAATCACATTGTTGTCTCATGGGATTCTTTTGAGTCTGGCTGGAGAAACCATCAAGGAAACAGGTTCAGATCTCTATCACAGGCTGTGAGCCAGAGCTTCCCCAGACAAGTCAAGAATCCATGTGGGACTGTAGATCAGAATTATTTGAAATCCACAGAGAACCGAGAAAAGGCCTTGGGTCTAATGTGATCCCAGCCTTTACAGCTCAGAAGTATTCCGCAAACTCCCATAATTTTCCTAAAGCAGGTGGAGGGGGTAGAGGTAAAGATTTGGAAGTTTAAATGAAACTGGTGACAAATAAAAGAACAGGCAGCTAGCTGGGATTTCCTGACAATTTCTGTCAAAACTGAATCACTGTTTTTCCTTGCGACTCTACATAACAGAAATTCTCCAAAATTCACTTCTCACCCATCTTTCAATAAGCATGGTCCAAAGTTTAGCTCCTAAAATTTTTTAAAGCTTTTAAAGATACTGGCAATATACTACTAGTTAAACAAATTTGCTCACTTATCAAAGAAAGACATATTAATCTTAAACTGCCCTTTTTGTTAAGACTAATAGATAAAACAAAGATCAATGGTGAAACAAAGATCAAACTTCTTAAATGATTGAGTTTGAGTTTAGACAACCTCTGCTCCACATACACAAAAGTCGATCTTACGACTTTACTTACTTTTAGTGACAACTCCCTCCAGCCTAATGATATTGGGGTGGTCAAATTGTCCCATAATGCTTGCTTCTCCCAGGAAGTCTCTCCTTTGCTTCTCTGTGTAGCCCACTTTCAAGGTCTTGATGGCCACTGAAATCTCTTTTTTCGATGGGAGTTTTAAGCGACCGCTGCACACCTCTCCAAACTCACCTGTTAGAACGCAAAAGAGCAAAACAACAGCAAAAGTCATAAAATAAAAAATCAGTAGAGAACAATTGTTTCTTCTTATCAGTTTTATTCAAATTATTTACACCTTTGGCCTGCAAGATGTACACTTGTAGGCCTCCAAATTATTTTGGAAGCTGGTAACCTGAGCCTCCCTAAGCAGCCCAGGATATCCACACTCTAATAGTAAATGGCCCTTGTGATAAGCCTCATATATTTTTAAGCAGCACACTGTGACTAATGCGATATGAAAGAAGAAGGGGACAGTCGTAAGCTACGTCTATTGGACTTTCTACTCCTTGCTCTCATAGCTACCATTTCCTCAGGTTAATCAAAAACTAGCACACACGTCATGAGCTGAGCATTGGATGAAATTGCAGATGTTTCTAACTATTCTGTTTTTACTAAGAAGACCAGTTTAACTATATACTTGGGCTCTCTGAAAGTGAAAATGAAATAATCTGCTATCAATTCATTATATTGGAGTGCTGGCATACTGTATTATTGATAAACTATTTGTAAAGTTCTCTGGGTTTCTGGAAGGAACAATAATATAACAGTATCAGATAACAGATACCACATGTTTTACCCATGGAAACATTTTAGGGGTATTTTCTTAGAGTCAATGTCTTCAATAAAAACTTGTCTTAAGTGAACAATTAGTCCAGGATTTGTTGAACATAAAGTATTGCTGATCTTAAAATTGTCTAATGCAAATGGTAAAAAATGACCTAGAAATAGTTTGAGCACTATCTTCATATACACTGTTACTGAGAGGATTTGCTCGTTCCGTGGATTTTTAGCGTCTGGAAAGCCAGAGACCTTTTACATTCATTTCTCTGTTTCCAATGCTGCCACAGTAACTGCCATACATGTATTTTGTATTCATAGAAGAAATCTTAACATTGTGTGGATTATTATTCATTTAAAATATTTTTTGAAATATCAAATAAGAGTTTTTGTTTTTTGGGGAAAAAGATTAAGTACATGCTCAATTTTTAGAACATGGAATGTAGTAACATTCTTGGTCCAACGTTCTCACTGTGAGTTTTTGTGCAAGCTCCATGCCCGTTGGTCAGCCAGAGAGAAGGTGTCAAGAAATGAGATGTTTCTTCTCTGTTTATTGTCCATGTAAGTGGTTTGTCCCACAGAAACAGCAAGTTGTCCCATTGATTTACTAACTCCATCACTAAAAAGGGCTTGCTTCTCTCTAGGAAGCTCTAAACTCTCTGAACTTGACCCTTCCTTAGGAATCCAGTCTTGCCCTATTTTCAAAACAATGACTTTTGCTGCAACTTGTCAAAGTCACTTAAAGTCCAAGAAGCAGTTAGTCATACATTATTTAATAAATACTCATCAATTGGCCCCAGTATGACAGGTGCTGTGAAAAACACAGGTATAATCGTAAATAAGGCAGGTCTAATTTCTCCCCTTTGAGAAATTGTAGAGAAGACAGCAATTACTGCAGCTAGAATGTACTACAGGACTGTAGGGAGAATTAGGGGCAGAACTTGAAACCCTTCATTGACCTTTTTATTTTTATTTACTTATTTGTTTTTAAAATATATCTTCATTGATTCCAGAGAGAGGAAGGGAGAGAGAGATAGAAACATGGATGGTGAGAGAGTTATTGATCGGCTGCCTCCTGCACGTCCCCAACTGGGGATCGAGCCGGCAACCCGGGCATGTGCCCTGACCGGGAATCAGACAGCGGTCTCCTGGATCCCAGGTTAATGTTCAACCACTGAGTCACGCCTGGTCGGGCTTCACTGACCTTTTTAAATCCAAGGGAAAAATTATGTCATTAGAGAGGTGTGAGTAGTAGGAGAAATTATGATGCAAAGTAAATCATGATTAGAATTTGTAAGCAAGAGCAAGAATTTCTTTCCTTAAACAGGGCTATCAGAACACTGCCAGAGCTCCAGTGTACTTTGCATGAACATTAATTTGGGGAAAACCATAAGGAGGTGTCCATAATGAATTTTTATTTTCTGAAAGTTCTGCCATTATCATGAGTCAATATGGTGTAATAAATTATGTTTTAAATTTGGATGTCATCATCACTTATTCTAAGTGTCAAGATACTTGTCAGATTACAAGGCAGACAATACAGGGCTGTGGGACAGAGTGTAGATTCTGGAACAAAACTGTCCAGTGTCTAATCCTGCCTGTGTCCCTTATTAGCTGTGTGATTTTCAGCAAGTATCTTAACCTCTCTGTGCCTTTTTCTCCTTATCTATAACATAAGAACACCAATTGTGTCTCTAATAAGATCTTTGTGACTTCAAAGGAATTAATGTATATGAGGCACTTAGAGCACCAGACACATAGTAAATGCTTTCTAAGTGTTAGTCACTATGTTCCTCTCCAAGTTCAAACCCACCTTAAAAAGAATACATTATCGATTTACGTCTCAAGAGTTAGATCAAATTGAAGAATAAATATAAAAGTGCGTTTTAAAATGTCAAATACTGTTTTAATGTAAGAAGAGATGGTTGTGTTGATGAGCGTGATAGCTAGGTTGATGTCATACTGGACGAGTATTTGTAAAGGAAAGGAGAGCATTTTGTAAAAGTGCCTCACTAGGGAGAATAAAAGGGAGAGTATGAATATCAAGTGGGTCAATTAGAGTTTCTTTCTTTGTTCTTATTGGGATATCTGGACATATGTACATATATATCTACCTTCAAAATTCAGAACATGGTGTTTCAGTAATGTTAATTTATAAAAATTACAATATTTAGAAATGTGATTATTTCACCTGACAAATACTAGAAATGGTCACCAATATATGAAACTAGACAGAGAAATGTTAAATATTTATTTAATTATCTTTAAAATAATTGAAAAGAACTGTTAAACATTAACAAAGACTAGGCAAATGCAATGCCTGATCTTTCCATTTAGCCAAGTTTTACGTGGTCTTACTCAATTAACCTTGCACCCATACGAAAGAAAATTTAGTTTCTGATATTTCTATGTAAAAGGATAGTTCCAGGAGGGTCATTTGGAAAGATACTGCTTGATTTTTTAATTCAGTAAGTGCAGCAGTGTTTGTCTTTTGAAGTAAAGTGTGGTTTATGAGAACTAGAATATTGTATTCTGATTTAAGATGCACAATGCAAAATTGCTCAAAGTAAAATTTCTTATACCAATTTCATTTAAAATAGAGGAAAAACATGTACTTGTGTTTAAGTAGAATGATCATCTACACTGGACTCAAAGTCCATTCTCCCTCTACTGTTTTAATAAAAGAAGCGTAATAAAAATACATAAGAAACAAGCTGGTGTGTCAGCTAAGCACTCTACATGAATGATCAAATTAATCGTCACAAAAACCTTAGAAAAAGACACTATTGTGATCATCAATGTGTAGCATGGATTTTGAAGTTGAAAAGTACAAGATTCTAATTTTGGTTTCCTAATCAATAGCTATGTGACCATGGGCCATTCAAATGTTCAGCTTTTGTTTCCTCATGTGGTAAAATTAAGATAACTATACTTATCTACAAGGTTAATAAAATTAAATATATGTGAATGCCTAGCATAGACTAAGAGTTAAATAAATATTTTCTACCTTCAGAAAATTTCAGTATTTAATCTTTCAAATTATGGTTAGATTAGGGAATAATATTAGGAATTTTTGTTATACCCATTTTTTTGGTATAAAATGACTGAAAATTAGAGAATTAGCTCACATATATAGAGTCTTTCTGTATATTTAATTGACTGTGAAGAAAGTTCTGTCATTGACCAAGATGTTGTCTTTTAACAATAAAAAATAGTTGCTAATTCATTTAGCACAAGTATTAATTTTTTTTTATGTACAACATTACTTTTAAAAGTTAAAAAAGATATAGGAAGTGGGTATATGTAGATGAAAGAAAGCTGGCGATGAGTGGGTAGTTACTGTAGTTGTTGTGGAAATGGGTACACGCTTGTTCATTCATCATACTCTTGCACAAGTTCATCTATTTTTGTAGATAATTAAAATTTTACAACAAAAATTTTTCAAAACCTTGATTTCATAATTCGTCTTGGTAATGTCAAACCCTTTAATGGTTAATCAAGACAGACTAGAATCGATTGTCTCTATTATACTGAAATCTTCCAGGACAAGCATAACCGACCTTGAAGACAGACCTATTTGCCAACGAAACAGGCACTGTTTTTATTGCCCTTAATGCGGCAAGTGAGAACGGTGGCTGCAAAATCCTGAAAAATGTGGCCTATGTCTAATTTTTTTTTACAGGTATGTTTGAATAGAAGAAGAAAAAAGAGGATCTTTCTTAACCTTTAATCAGGGATTACTGAGTTAGTATAACTAGGCTTTCCCTTTATCTCGTTTATCACATACCATTTGCAAGGAGTGTGCTTTGTTTCATGCCACTGTGTAGCAGGCCTCTGGCCCTGTGAATAACATCTGCATATAGAAGCTTTAACTGATGAGGAGGGTCTCAGATTTCAACACCCCCATGTGTCTGCCTGGCCTGCTGGACTCCGGCTGAGCCTAAGTGGGATTTTCCTCCTGTCCAGGTGAGCACTCATAGTCCTCGTGTGGCATGTGCTACTGTAGGGCCCGTGGTGGAGAAGCCTGCACTCTCCTTGGGCTAGATTAAAAATGACCAGGGCCCTCTGCACCATGGAGCAGTGCACAAGCTGAACTGCACAAATGAAAGAGAGTAGTCAATATATAACTCTCTTAACTGGATTGACATAGCTGTGTGGTGCACGTATTTACTCTTAAGTCTTAGGTTGTGAAAAAAAGAAGTCACTCTGGGTTGCTTTTATGAAGCACGAGCTGAATATTTTAATATTGTCTACACATGTGACTTTTAGAATGATACAACACTGAGAAAAGTAGAAGGGCTTTTTTTACACTTTTATAATACATTATCTGTATATTGTGTTCACTACCTAAAGTCATTTCTTTCTAGAAGATACAATTTAGTAAATTATCATTTTAATTATATAATATGAATTACTCTGATTGTCTTGCATAATAGTAAATACTGGTTGAGTTCAAAATACTGTTTTGGTGTATAGAAAAGGAAACAGAGAACATTATATGCACATCTGCATAAAGAAGCATCAGAAGCATAAATACAGTGCTCATAGAAAATGTGTTCTGATATATTATGCATAATTCAATGAGCTAATTATCCAGTCTCACTCTAGTTCCCACATCAACATAGCTAGCTGGTTTGTTTTTCGATCAATATTGAAGAATGGGATGATGGTTGAAACTATTATTGCACAGTATTGTTTATTTTTACTTTTGAGTAGTAGTTTTATTCAAATGCACATTGCATGTGCTGTGAATGTCCATTTGTTATGCCTCAGTGTGTAAAATAGTTATTTTATAAAATTCTATATTTTTTATTGAAAATACGAAACAACCGTTAATCACTCCATGGGTATTTATTTATGAATTTATAGTATAGCAAATTACTGATTGGAACAAAAGGATTTCTATATGAAAACAAGTTTCGACACAAATAAATTAATACTATATAAAGTTACAGGCAAGCATTCAGATGGAGCACTTCACATTATTTAAACTAACTGCTCAAACTAGTTGTCATGAAATTTGTGTTTTTAAAATGTTTCATTTATGATTTTGTGTTGTCTATTTTTTAAATTCCAAAGAGGATTCTAATATTACCTTTTTTCTACAGATCCAAAATTGCACTTAGTGGGCTTATTTAAAGTGAAACACACTTTTATCCTGTTATCCCTTTTTAACGAAATGGTCTTTGTGACACATGATCAGCGTAGCCATGGGAAGGCTGAGCGGTTGCTGCTGCCGCCTCTGAAATTCAATAAATAAAAAGCTGGCCATGGTCTGTGAGTCTGCAGGTCTGGCACCTTTGAAATCATTGCATCCCATTAAATACTCTACTTATTTGTTGCTTGCCTTTGATCACTAAGTCAGAAAATGTCCTTTTTCATAGCAATATACAGGTGGGGCAAAAGTAGGTTTACAGTTGTTTCTATGTAAAATGATACAATCATTAATAAATAATAATACAAGAATAAACTCTTGTGTTTCAAGTACTAACAACTGTAAATCTGTTTTTGCGCCACCCTCTAATTAGGCCTGAGAACCTGAGCAATT